CGTTTACCAACGAATAGTGGGATTGACCGTCACATTATAACGCCCCGACGGCTGAAAGGGCGAGCATGTTTGGTGTGAGAGGGATTCGAACCCGCGACCCTCAGATTACGAGTCGAGCACCTTAACCACCTGGCCATGCCGGGCCTACACTTCAAAATTACGAAAGGCTATTGCAAATACTTCCCGAGTGGTTTTGCACGAAATACAACAAACTATAAAAACTCATATTTTTTGCATTTAATAATCTTTACAAGCAGCCTTATGATATTCATTTGCAATAATGTTTAGCTGTTGATAAATTTTCTTCAAGATACTCCTATAGACTATAGTAATAGTATCCGTAGTAGCTAATTTTAATGAATGATGTTTTGGTGCCTTTGTTGTGCCATATATGGCTTTTATTCGATAATGTAAGACTTTGTAAATCTTTTCTTTGAATTTATTAAAGATTATTTTCCACTTTCTCATTTTAAATAAAGTTACAAATATTTTTGGAGAAGGCTGCAATAAGCTCTCGTTATTCTTTATAAGTTCATCATACATAAACAGGAAAATTCTGTCTGTTATCTCACAGCGTATGAAATTATATGTTGAGGTCTGTGCTCACCCTCTCTGATTAGTTTTGTAAAGCCAGAATTATACGGAGAGGCCAAAATTATTTACAAACTCCGTGACGTACAACAGAAATAGTTTAACATACTTACCGCGTCATTGAACAGGTAGAAAAAGGAGATGATATTTATCAATGTTGTGATCGTAACAGAAAATACCCAGGGAAGTAACAGCAATCTATAATCCTGAAGGAAAAACAAGTTATTTATATCACTTTCTAAGAAAAGTATCGATGAAATATATTTAGTGAAAGAATGTGTCATAACAAGAATATTCTATTATGACGATCAAATAGTTTAGGTATGCTTACGTTTCCCTTTATAGACAAACGACAATGTGATAAAATCATTTGAATTTATTTCATTGTGGAGAACGTAATTTGAAACTATTTTTATCGTATTACAATTTCAATTTTATTGCTTTGATTTTTGCTATTTATTTCAATCCAACAGGTTGCACTTTTTTTACTATCATTGATGCATTATAACATGATTTAAATTGTCATTATCAAAATAATTAATCACAAACCATCTTTATTTCACTTTATATTTCAATTATTTTATAGAAACACGGCACTTGTATATATATATATATTTATTAAAAACTCAGTTAAAACAACATTAAGAAGTACAATTATTTAAAATCTTTGAAGGCACCAGTTTTTAAAACGCCACACGTGTGAAGTATATATTTCATAATCAGTAAAATAAATATAAATTTCATATAGTATCAATCTTTAAATTTCTTTTACTGTGATTAAAATAGTGTGCTACAATTGAAAAAAAAGTTTTATATAGTATCAATCTTTTTTTCAATTGTAGCACACTATTTTAATCATAGTAAAAGAAATGTAAGTTTATATAGTATCAATATTTCTTTTTCAATTGTAGTGCATTATTTTTATCAGCTTTGTGAGTTTATGCTACTACTTCTGCTACGCTTTTCGAATTTTTAGTACATTTTGATCAACTCTTTGTGCTGACAAACATGCATATTAATAGGATACGATGAATTACAAGGCTGCCTTTTACTATTCTTCGAACTACAGCTTTGATAATGATATGTTCTGAAAATTAATATAGATAATTGTCCACAGACGTTATATAAAACACTTCACGGAATATGCTGTAGGACAAACAGTGTAGTATGTTTGTTCTATTAGATTTCCTGACTTTGTAAAGATACATCAACATTGTAGGAACATTACAGATTTAGATTTAGCACTTATGAATAATGTTTTCATAATCTATTTTCTTGTTTTCTATATATCCGTGTAATATGCTACAGTCACATAATAATGTTTTGTCGGATAATTTTATGTTTTGTTGTTGTATTTTCAATAACATATAAATGTACTTCAGCATTCTTACTGTTAACCAGTCGTGATCTTGTCATGTCATTTTATAGAAATTACAAAATAATATAAAAATTGTCTGTTTGCTTTAGAGCAAAGCTACATTGGGCTTTTTGCTGTGTTCACCACGGGAAATCGAATCCCGGCTTTTAAAATTGTAAGTCCGTAGACTTACCAGTGTCCCGTTGGGAGACAAAAAAAATGTACGATCAAATTTCATGGACCTGGTGGTTAGAGCGCTCGACTCGCAATCTGTAGATCGCAGGCTCGAATCCTCGTCTCCGAACATGCTCGCCCTTTCAGTCGTGGGGGCGTTATAATGTGCGGTCGATCCCACTATTCGTTGATAAAAGAAAAGTCCAATAGTTGAGGGTGGGTGGTGTTGACTAGCTGCCTTTTGTCTAGTTTATTACTGCTAAATTAGGGGCGGTCTGTGCAGATAGCTCTTCAGTAGCTTTACTCAAAATTCAAACCAATATTTCATGCGTTTTTGTTGATGAATTATTTTTGAAAATGACGAAATATAAGCATAAATTACAATTCAAGGCATGTTTCATGGATTGTTAAATCAATCCCATTCTTACAGTTATAAATCTGAGTTATCTAACATACCGAAGTACTTAGAGGAAATAGGGATCAATGTTCAATAGTTCTAGGCAATGAATGTGAAAAATGACTAAATATTATTAACTTATATTTGCTAGAAAAATTCTCTATTAAAGTCATTACTAATTACTGCTATTAGCTACTGAATAAAAAGAGTAGTGATAGCTTAAGTTTACACAAAGTTAATATTTCATAATAAAGTTCAACTACACTTACCAAAAACAATCCAACGAGAAGAATTACTGATGACGCAACACAGAGTCCGGCAAACACAATGATTAAAATACTAAGTACCAGAAGCTCTGAAAATAATAACAGCAACAATAAGATTAGGTCTATAGCAAGGTTTAAGTATTATTTTGTTCAGACATGTTTTGAACAAAGCGTATTCAAAACTATTCGGCTGGCTAACATAAGACATCTAACAACAAATCAACCTTGACATTCTATGTTGAAACTTTATCAGTATTTTCGAAAAGTATACTTCATTGTTTCATTCTAAAATATTTAAATTGTACTTCCTTTCACTGTTGAAAATGAGATTGCATATAATTTAATTTTTTAAAACTGTTAACTAGTTTCATTGCCGCTGGTAACCTGATAAAGAGCTGTTGCCCGAAACGTCGTTTTCTTGTTTTATTAATAAAATTATTTTAATTTGGCAAGTTTTTACCACTACTTTATATTCTATTTTGTATTTTCTTATTTCCTTGCCTACGCAATTATGTTATTCCTTTAATATATCCAACGTTTTCTAGAATTTTTTATAGAAATAATAATGCCCCAATACATAAATATACAGTTTTACTGAGTAAATTATGTATATTTTTAATATTACGCATTATAACTTCTTTAGTATATAAACCTAGTGAAATGGAGATATTTTAACTATGGAAATGTTCACATTAATTAACTTAGAAGTTAAAAAAAATTTTAAAAATACAGACTTGAACACTACAGTGTAAAGATATACCAGTTTCAACCCTGTTTCGTAGGATTTCAAGCTTTTATAAGCCACGTAAGTGTGCTCATTTATAAATTTACCATTATGTAAAAATATTAAATTGGTTAACTCATATGTCTTGTGATACTTGTTCAAAACAAGTAATACACAAGTTAAACCACAAATATGTATTGTAAAAAATAAACAAAGATATTTTGCTAAAGTTTCGACCCCATTAGTTCCGTCCATCATCAGCCAGAATAAACGAGATAACAGTATACAATACTATGTTTGAAAAACTCCTTCCAATACCCCTGTGGAACATGTTAATTTTAACCTAACGTTCTATTTAAATAAAACAACACCAATAAATAAATAAAATGCATTGTTAAACAAAGTATATATATATATAACTATTCATCATTTCACTTGATATATAGGCATGTAAATTTTAATGTACTAATTATTTATACAAAATATATTTTTAATAAGTTTATATAGATTATATAGCCATTTACATATTTACTTTCTATATTATTTTATGTTATGTTGGGTATTTAAGCTTATATCTAATTTATATGCATATATTTATTATTTAAATAAGTTACAAAACGTTTTTGCAACAGATATGCATCAAAGGGAAGGATAGCGTATATGTATATATAATACATATATACATATACATGCACTTTTTGGTGTTGTTTCATTTAAATAGAACGTTAATTGGAACGTATTGGAACACAGTTTTTAAAATGCGATAGGCATTCTTGTTTTTAGTTTATTTTCACTCTGCCTGATGATGACCCAAACAAATGTTGCTAAAACATGTAGCAAAGTTTAGCTGTTTCTGCAATAATAGGTAATTGTAATTTAATAGGTGTATTGATTTTATTAATATAAAAATGCATTTTTCAAAACCAAAGGATGTAAATTGAATAGCAAAAGGCAGTTAATTCTATTAAGATGATCGATTGTGTGCTTTTTTTTAAGTTCTAAAACATTTTATTTTACTCTATGAATCTGTCTCCTCAGTAATTAGTAAAATATGACATTTTAGTAAACTTACGAAGCATTATAGGAATGAGACTTTCCCGATTTACTATGATTTGTCTTGTAATAAGGTTTCAGGAACACTGGCTTAAGCTTTAAAAGGTTACAAGTTCGTATCAAGTATGTAATGTAAAATACGTGTGATAACTTTAAATCATGACTAATTAATATATACTTTTAATCATAATTCGTAAGTCAGCATAGTTTTAGTCACTCATAGTTATCCAAATAAAATCAGGTGTTACATTACCTGGAGAGTGAAGAACATTATTTACATGTACTGATCCTGTAATGGCGATGACAGAGTAGAATATCTATGAAGAATTAAAACGAAAGTTTTTTTAATTGCAAAGGAAATCACAAAACTATCAGTCTGTTATATATTTCATAAGTGAAAAAAGACAAAAAATAATACAAGTAAAATAACATAAGAAAAAATTAATTTTTTTAATTGCAAAGGAAATCACAAAACTATCAGTCTGTTATATATTTCATAAGTGAAAAAAGACAAGAAATAATACAAGTAAAATAACATAAGAAAGACAGAAAAACGTATTTTGGCCTTTAGAAACTGCGATTGCTCGTTAAATACATTATTTAATCTTACACGTAAATAACTACTGTAAGGTCACACGATCACAAAATGAATTAATCTGGAGCCGCTACCATCACCCACACAACAAGAAATATTTCATTAGAGTTTTAAAATAGGTAAATAGGAGATATCCATGATGAATTCGTTGAAGCTCCTACTAATTATTAAGCCTGGAAGTTTATGAACAAGCTGAGCATAAGTAATCTAATGCAACTATAAACTAATTTAATTACAAAACTTATGCTATACTTGTATATTCATCACTAAACTTATAAAATTACATAATATACATTCCAATCATAATGCATGTAATTTCTCATTGAAGTATCATTCAAACTTATAATACAAAATAATGCATTATTTCATTATTCCAAAATAACATAAAATACTCTTATTTAAGACTAGGTCTGTTGGCGTTGTGGGGCATCGTGGCTCGGTAGCTTCGTGATTCGAACTTGTAATCGGATGGTTGTAAGTTTCGACGCTGACCTGCGTTCATTCTTTCCTTGAGCAAGACACTTTACCCCACTTGTTCTAGTCTACTCATCTATATGGTGGCTACAAGTTGTTAACTGACATCCTACCTAGGCAGAGAATGGATTATCATTCTCACCCGCTTGTGCCACTTGAAACCGAAGTTCGAAACTACCGGCTCTATGTGTCTTCCAAAGGCACTGCAAAGATTTATTAACTGCCTAACTGTTGGTATAGTATACATGAATCGATGTAAACAATGATTATATAAAAAATACGATGGTAAGGCATTTGTTGAATATAAAATCCAACAAATAAAGAGCAACTTATAGTATATATTGCATTAATGTATTTGTTCAGTAGCAAATGATATATATATAATTTTTTTATCGTAATTCCAATAAAAAAAGCAAGCAATATTTTTAATTGTTTGTTTGTAATTAAGCACAAAGCTACACGTTTGTCTACCTGTTCTCTGCCCATCACGGGTATCGAAACCCGGATTCTAGCGTTGTAAGTCCGCAGACATACCGCTGTGCCATTGGGGGGGGGCATATTTTTGAAAAGCATAGATGGTGTATGCTAAATCAAAAGCTAAGATTGATGCTGCATTATTGTTACTCTCAAAAGTCTATCAATGCTAGAAACAGCTACAATAAAATTCAATCTCATTTTAAAGAGTGAAAGAAAGCACTGCTTAAATGCTTTAATATTAAACAATGGAGCAAAAAAGTACAAATTAATTTGAAATAGAAGCAAAGAAGACCGCTGCTGGAACTGCATCGCACAATGTTATATTTGATTTTAACCACTTTTTAAGGTTTATTTTATATGAACTAGTAGACACAGAAAAACAAACTGGAATCACGATAAACATAACCAGAACCAGCATATGTTCAAGTATTAAAGTTTTTAACATTAACAAAACTTGGAATTGAATCAGAATAATATCCAACACTATCACACAAATGTATATACGAATATATATATAAGTATATCAGAATCAATTCAGTGTCATGATTTATTGACGCTCTTTGCTTTTGCATACGTTATATTTAATTTTTATCTTTTAGTTTATTAGTGCATCATCTAAAATAGCTACAAATCGGACAATTATTTTAACACGTGCAAAAAAGTACAAAAGTAATTGATATCTTCCAGTTGGTGTCCATGTTATTGAACAGTGCACACCAAGTAAGTTCAAATAAGCACTGGCTTTGTATATGAAAAAACTAAAATAAACGTACTTGTGTTCTCTGGTCACTTCTTAGTAAAGTATGTTTCTGTTAAAGATCGAGTCGTAAAACCATTCGCATTTACTGAGTTATATCATTTCACTGATTGCACATACAGAGCTTACAGAGAATCAATAGGATAAAAATCTTGAAGTAAAAAAGTACATTTAACATTAAGATGCAGTTTTCACAGATCAGTAAATTAGGTTAAAGTTTATAATCAGAAACATTTAACATCCCATTCTGTTAACAACAAATGTGTTTAAGAATGAAAATAATATATTTTCCATAGAAGTGGCATCCAAACCAATGAATGATTGAAGCACTGTTTTAGTTGTCAACTAAGATCAAAATAGAATATTGAATTAAGAATGGAAAGAATGACAATAAAATTGTTTTTTCTGCTATATTTCTAATTATTTTATAAGTGCAGAAACGTTTATTCGGTTAGTTGTCAATGTTCTGATGACTCAAAATAAAGGAAAACGAAATTATACAGTGTTGCAATCATTATAATTGCATTTAAAACTTGCAAAAGTAGATGCGAATTTTAATATACTTATAAGTCGTTTATTCTCTATTAATGCACATAAACATGGATATACAGACATATTATTAAAACATACACATAGAATTTTGAAAACATTCCTTTTTGTTTCAGCGAGACTGTTTTTCAAAGTTTGTTTGTTTTTTCAATTGAACATATGTCCAGCTGTCCATGGCAGGTATTTAGATTCGGAATAACCAGGGGTGATCTTCTCTCCGCTCTTGGTTAAAAGTTTTAGAAATGTCTACATGGTGGAAAAATTTGATTTTTGTTTCCTCACTTCATTCAAGGGAAAGAAGAAGGAAAGCCGGAGAAGCCCAAACGCTGTCGTAGAAGGAGACATAGTATGATCTATTCCTGATCTTTAGTTGCACTAATTTTTAGCTCTAAGTAGACTTCTTCGTTGAAAACAAATTGATAAATAAATAAAAATTAGAAATATATATATTAATTAAAAATATAAAATAAATCTGAAAATCAAAGGGTCACAACTTAGACTGACAGGAATCTATAAATCCAAAGCTGTACATTTAGATGGAGAGGGGGTGGAAGTGCCCTGAGAAAACTTGTTTTCACTGGCAGGGCGTCGAAAGCTCTACGTGGCCAGTGTCAAAAATCGAACACTCACTGAAAAAAGCAACCCTTTTATAGGCTCATAAACAATTGTACACATACACACACACAAACACTATGTAGAGCAAATGCTTCAATTAAGAGCATATTGTTTTCCCTCTTCAACGAACTTCAAGATAATGTTCCCAAAGACATTAAACACGTTTATTTGATCTTTTAACATTTAGTTTTATGTTTTAAAAGCAACAAATGGGTTTAAGCAAAGATATTTGGGGGTACTTAATTATTACATTGAATTATAAGGAGATTTTACTTTCTAAGCATCAACGAAAATAGCGGAAATATAAGAAAAAACTAGGTGCACTTGAGGATTATATAAATTCCAAATCTAAAAAGATGCAATCAAGAACACTTTTTATTCACAAGGCATTTTAAAAGAGTGAGTAAAATAAATAAAAGTTGAGTGTAAAAATTTATTTTAATATTCCATTATACATATCATCACATAAATTCACGTTCCCATATTTTTTCACAACTTTACGAAAATAGTGTATGTGAGATTTATTATCTTAAGCCAAGCTTAATAAAATGACATCTATGTCTGTCAATGTACACATTGAACTGAAGACAACATTGTATGCATCAACAGCTAAACGTCCAGTAATAATTCACCAATATAGAATAAAAAAGAACTCAGGCATGGCATATAATATATCACTAAGACTTCTTTCACGACTTTCTCCTCTAGTTTCCTACTGTTGTTTTCCTTCAAACCATGCATTAATAATCTATAGTAATAATGTATATCATTAAAAATCTTTCACTCCTTTGTGAATAAAAATTATTTGAAAAGTTAATACTTTATTGCTAATTGAATTATATTACAGCTGCGCTACTTAATGAAATGCATCATATCAACGAAGGTCCAAAAAGTTTTAAAGACACTTTAATGAATAACGTATTCATTAACAAACAAAAAAGAAAACATAGGTGGCTAACTTTCAGACTAAGTTAATTAAATTCATAGTACTTTGAAAATTGAATTCTCTTGTTTGTCACAGTCACGTTTTGCCTCAAATTCAGCTTGTGCCAATTTTAATATTTGAATCAGCTACAGAAATGTTCGTTTTTAAGTAACTTAAAGATTAGTTAAAGACGGTTTATTCATCAATTAATCGAATAATTTACTTAGAAATAAAAAGTCACACATTTTTATTTTTTATCTTTTACACATTTATAGTTTATAGTTTGTCAGTTTATTTATAGTTAGCGTAAAGCCATACAACGGGCTATTTGGGCTCTGCCCACCGCGAATATTGAAACCCGATTTTTAGCGTTATAAGCCTTCAGACTTACCCCTGAGCCATCGGCGGATATTTCTATCGACCATGTTCACTTCTTTTACATTTCATTATTTCATATTACTTTAAATGTCCTTTGAAGTTTGGAAACTACAACATTTCTAAATAACGAGAAAAACAATTAATCAATGGATTTATTTGTTTAGAAGGCTTTGTTTGTTTGTTTGTAATTAAGCACAAAGCTACACAATGGGCTATCTGTGCGATGCCCCCACGAGTATCGAAACCCGGATTCTAGCGTTGTTAGTCCGCAGACATACCACTGGGGGGCGTTTAGAAGGCAGTCAGTCATCAGCATATACCGCCGAATCGTCGACTACTGAACGAAAAGTGGGATTTGACCATCGTTCTTATAGTTCACCCACCGCTCCAAAGTATGGGGAGAATTCTTGCTATAATGGGATGCGAATCATGAACCCTCGGATTCAAAGTACTGGCATCAATGAAACTGTGCAAGTAACCTCCGTTATTTTCTCAAGAATCTGTTATACAGTCGAAAAAACAAGTTTTATTTTCTTGCAGTTTTAAT